GTGAAAGCCAGAGCGGTTTATGCCAATCTGGGCCACCTTTGGCGCCTTCGTAATGTTAGTCTGGCTGTAAAAGGTCGGATCTACAACGCGTCGGTGAGAGCAGTTTTGCTCTATGCTTGTGAAACCTAGCCTCTCCGAGTTGAGGACGTTAGACGACTCTCTGTGTTCGATCATCGCTGTCTCCGAAGGATTGCTGACATTCAGTGGCAACACCATGTCAGTAATGCAGAGGTTCGGCATCGTGTGTTCGAGGACAGAGATGATAATTCAATTAGTGCCACCATCTTGAAACGCCGACTTCGGTGGCTTGGACATGTTCTACGAATGTCGTCCCAGAGAATTCCACATCGTGCATTATTTGCCGGCTCTGGGACTGATTGGAAGAAGCGGAGAGGTGGTCAGTGCATGACATGATGTCGTGGCATGAAAGAAAGCTACAAAGGACTGGCTTGTGTTGGTCCTTCACGACTCCCTGGTTGGGGTTTGGGAGATGGTGCTACACAGTGGCTAGAGACGTTATCAGATATGGCTCAGAATAGAAGCCAGTGGCGATCCTGCTGTAACCTTCGTTTACTTCATAAAAAGTAGTTGTGTCTCCCTTACCTGAAAGATTTTTTTTCCGATTGCACCTTTCAGTTCCCTCATTAGTGTCACTACATTACACCAAACTCTTCGTTATTGTTCTCTTTTTTTCGGGCTCGTTAGCTTTTTTTCTATTTTTCTTCGAATTCTCATTGTTTTGTGTGGCACATATATATTGGCGCTCTCTTGTACCAATATTCATGTGTTCAAACAAATAACTAAATAAATAAACATGAAATATACTATTCATTAACTGATTTCCGTTGTTCATTACCGTAGAGTATTGAGTGCACCATTCGTCCGAGTCCTTACCAGATACTTTTACGATCACAGGAATATTGTATGAATTTCGGTAACGCTTCTTATAAACAATAACGCTGACTGCTACAATAGGGTGAACCTGGGGCTTGCGGTTTAAATCTTGCATTTCTTAGGTTGTTTCATATATACCCAGTCTGGTGTCTTAGTCGACAGGCGTGTTTTACACATTAACCCTTTGGGTATATTTTCAATCGTACGGTAGGCGGATCTGAACTGCTAAAATCCATTTTTATGAATAAGCTTCATGTTTTCCTATTTCGGGAATTTTCATAACCCAATGAGTCATCTGTGGTGAATGACTGGTATGTTGATGAGTTTTATGTGTTCATACCAAAAAGGTAAAAAACAAACCCAAAACCGTCATAGTTTTCCGCCCTAACTTTGACAAACAGCTAGATCAGGCGCTAAGTGAACAAATTTCAACTGATACTCCACGATCAACAGTATTGAGATTGTGTCAGGAAAGCTAGTTATGCTTAAGTCAACAAAGTGACCCAGTTTAAATGACATGCTCAGAAAAGTCTTTTCCCGTCCACTACATAACCTGTTTCAATACTCTCTAGGTTCGACATAGATTCCAAAAGTGTGGAAACAGCAATCCTCTCCTCGGTTTTTAGAGGGGCACACAGATCACACCTGACAATATTAGTAGAGTGATTGAACTGGAGTGTTCGTTTCTGGGTATAATAGAGGGATTTACTTGGACCTATGGTATTTACCATACCCACCAACGACCTCCCAGAGAACATAAGCTCATCGGTCCTTATTTATGAGGACCAAATCGGACTGTGGAGATTCATCAGCTGTAAGGGTGATTCATAAAAGCTCCAAAGGGACCTAGTGCTATTGAAAGAATGGGCACATAAATACGGTTCCACATTTAATTTCTGAATTTTTTTAGACGATGCTATTTCTAATTACAGAAAGCGACTGTAGTGAAAACGCTGCAAGAAAGAAACATCACTACAAATCATTTATTAAACTGAACTGTTACTGTGTTAGACGGCGTAGCATATTTGATGAACAATTAGGGTCAACTCTTGAACATGATCGACACTGCATAACTCAGCCATATAGGAGTGGTCGCCACATATGTATCTATTTTGTTTCTATAATGCATATATGATTCTGTAGGTAAGATTGAATTTTCTCGTGAATATTCCCTTGTAGTTCTGTCATATGATCTGCCAATTTTATTGTTGTTTTAATCTTCGTATATATGTTGCTCTTTCTTATTTAGTTACTTCTTATTTACACTGACTCTGTTTCATCTACAACCCTAGGTGCATAACATTTTTCAAGTGTTATAAACAATTTTAACTTATTAAAACGCAAGGTTTTAATAACAGAAGTCAGTTTAATTTAGAATCAATTATTAGTAGGCATAAAGATATATCCCTCTCACGAGTGAAATCTTTCAAATGAAAGATTAATATGAATGGTGAAAAACTCACTAAACTGAAATAAAATGGTTAGCTATAAACTATTGGTTAGTGAATTGGTTGTCGTTGCTGAGATCTGACGTCATTTATCAGTCAGTTAGTTCACATTATGGATCATAGTTACCTGGATGTCTGGACATGATTACCTGAATACAACCCGAACATATACTTTGATGAAGATCACAAAGTTTGTAATCTAATATCATTTAATGTTCTTAATTGTCATAAATAACACTGGGTGTCTACCTGATATGATGGGTAGTTTAAAATATTTTTCTCTTTGTTATACTACGATAGTACAATAGTGAGACCTGTCACTTTATATCAAACCAAGGATTTACGACCCAGAATAGAGGACACGAGTGTAGACTAGATAATACGTTACTCAACACAATTACAAGCAGTTGCTCTCAGTGAGTCCGGAGTAGAAATCAATGAGAGGAAAATCCTATTTTTAATAGTCATTAAGTTAAATGGCTGTTTGTCCACGCCCAGTGATCAATTATATTTTACTTTCACCACCCTAAATAATCTTCTTTCCTTTTTAAACAAAAAAATATCTGATAGAGATAACTTTTTATAGTCGACCATTGAATGTTTATTTATGTTAGATAGATCACCTTATCGTCTTAATTGAACTGGATTTACGAAAAAGTGAAGATTCTAGATTAAATAGTTTGTAAGCAAAAATTGAATAAGTCATGATGGATTTGTAATTACTAATCTAACATGACTATCCTTCATTTGACAGCCAGTTTTGCAACAAACAAAGTGATCAGTATGGCCAATGTTGATGTAATATATTTAATTTGGTTATCATCTGTAGTAATGGCTGAGGATAATCTGTTACACCTGAGTATTGTTACCATCAAACCAAAATATGTAATTAAAAAAGTTAGTAATTGTTTCTAGTGAACTAACGAGTGTTCTCAGCTAGTATTAAACAAGCTCGAAAAATTTAATAGAACTACATTTACCCCAGAAAGATTTAAATCTAAACATTTGCAGTTAAGCATACACATCAGTGGTAATAAAAGTGAAGAAGGATGATATGTTAGTTTGCGTCTAGTGATAAGAAATTTTCATCCGACTAAATATATATGCCTTGCAAAGTGTTTGGAAACAATCATATTGTTTCACCCAAGTTTACTACTTCTCAATAATGCGTATCTACAACGCCTTACGAGATAAAACCTAGGACTTTATGGTCTCATAGCCGGGATAATACAATTGAGACAAGTATTCATTAATTTAGATTTCCAACCTCAGTCAATTTGTACGATGTGGTATCGTCATCGTCTTTTGTTATCTCAGAATTATTGCTTTACTCCAAATAATTATTTGAACTGTAGATGTTTGATGAAGAAAGAATTGAAGAAGGATTGTTCTTGTTATAACTTGTCGTTTGAATGCTTATTGTCTTGACTCTTTTAATGCTACTGATTGTTACGTCGGAAACGCTTATCACTTATACTCGGAACGAGGGACCTCTGCAATTCCCACGATGCAAAAGAACACAAAAACTGGTATAAATGAAAATTTAATAACCCAAAAACACGACGCCTATTCTAGTAGAAAATACCCTCATTTATATATTGATTGTACACCCATTTTGATTAATAATTAGGATGAAATCACATATATGATAAATACTTAGAATTATAACAAATCAATTACTGTGCATAGTTCATGTCAATGGAATACAAGAATATCGTATATTATACAGAAGAAAATATCATACGAGAAAAGAAAACCGAATACTACATTGAGTAATCATGACATTGAATCAAAACGGAAATAATCTTGAACAAAACTCATAATGAGTAAATCAATCGAAAATTGACTTTTCTTTCCATCATATCAGTTCTCCAGACTCTTATGGTTACACCAACTAATAGAACAACCGTATATATATATATATATATATATATATATATATATATATATCTTCCAAATGTCATTGACTGTAAATTCTATACTGTTTTGTTTTTCTTTCATGGTGTTATGAATGAAGTTATTATTGCTTTTCGTTGAATATAATCAACCTATCCACTAATGGACTTGATCTGGAATGCATAGAGCTCTTGAGATCATTTATTGTCAAGTATCCCACTTACACTTTTATTTAATATATCGCTTTTGACCCTAAAGGTTGAATTCCTTATTATACTTATGACTTGCTTCATGGCTATCTGTTATATCGTTTGTAAACAACCTAAACAGTCTAATTATCTGATCGTATATGAGCGAATTGGGAAGAGCTATCGTCTTAGTTATGACATCGCTAGCTTAATTTAGTTCCGCACATTTATTGATCATTGATATTGCCATTATTCAGACTCGTTTGCTATCCATGATTTTAATTCCATCACGCTGTGCTGCTGTGATTCAGCAACTTAAACCGATGTACAATAATGTCAGTGTCGAATGTTGGTTGTGACTGACTGTTTAAATAAAAATTATATGGTAAAATCTTGAAATTAATATTAAGAATACAAATGACTCAACTAAGAAAAGCCTTTTACGAATGACCAATCACTGATAAATAATTATTCTCACATTGGGATTGATTCCATGATTATAAGCCTACTGGTATTCTTCTAATCATGGTAAATTAACCATCGTAGAGACTGAATAGTTAGTGAGCATTAACATGTGTATAGAAATTTTATCCTTATCGTTAGATAATACATAGGTTAACGATCAAAATCAATCAAATGAATTTGAGAACAAATAAATAGCATAGATAAGGTGTATATTCATACAATCGTAGCTATTATCAGGTTTTTTGAACATTTCTTCCTTTCAGAAGAGTTTAAGATAGATGGTTTAAGAGAAAGCAAGATAGAAATTCCAGAAAATAACAGAAGTAAACAAGAGATATACATAAACACACAAGGGAAACAACTAGTTACAACTAAAACAAAACAAAGTAGGTAAACAATAAATGGAAACTGTAAAATACGGGTGAAAAAGCCAACGTAATGACAACAAAAAGGAAAAGAAAACTCATTGTTTAACTACTAATCCTTTTTTACATGATTTCAAAAATAACAATTTGTTGATTATATTTTACACTTAAAAATAGCAAAAGTGTAATAGGACACCAAGTCACTACTACTGCTACTACTATTATTATTATTATTGGTAATAATAATAGTCAAAGTGAGGATAACTGACAGAAAGAAGAGTATCGTGAAAAAAAGGCAAACTAAAAAAAAATAATGTAACATGAGATTAATGCAAATCTCTAGAGATGTCCCACATGTGCGTGCATATAGGTGTACACATCATAGCAACTTAAAGAAGATAAACAAACAAAGAAGATAACGTAAGTAACGAGAAAAGAAAATATAACAGTTTGAGATATTTGTGTGATGCTACTCATTTGTTTTGCAAACAAAAAGAAAAAAAAAGATTGATCATTGAAAGAACGAAAACAAACTGTCCACAAACAATAAAACATTATATATTGACATATACAACGAAAGAAGACATTAATTATTCTGACTAAAGAAAGATAACATTAATGTAAACAACATATGAATAAATGTATATTATTGTAATGTTAGCAGCCAGACGAAGTGTAAATGGAAAAGATAAACACATAGACAAACAGTCACTGATAAATAACTCTTATTGTTTTTTTTTTTACATACAGTGGGAAAGTGTATAAGTTATATGTAACAAAAACAATATCCGCCAAAAATATATGCATAAAAAGCTCAGTGTTTTACTAGTACTCTAGATTGTAGGCAAGTTGATTGTACATTCTATTTAGACGGTGATTTGTATTCCTTATAATTTCTCCATTCCCTTCCGCCTTTAAAGTCCATCATCACCGCTACTCCCTTTGCTTTCATTTTAATATGCATCACTGGCAAACACAGATGAACACTTAATACAATAGAAATACAAATGACGAAGAATAAGGAATATTTTCTAAAGCAATAAGGATTAATGTATGTCATCAAGAGTCAAAATAATAATTTAAAAAGGAAATATTAAAAACAAAAATATTGAAAAGGAAATTTCTACAACACACAGATAAACTTTAACAGCCAATTATTTGCTCAGTACACAGTTGAAACCTGTACACGAGTATTATATATATGTATGTTAAGACTGATAATTGTGCTAATAACAGAGATGATAACTCTGTACGATAGTGGTGTACATTAAAGATCAAGCAGATATGAGAAAAACAAAATATCTTCTTTTTTCTTCATCTTAATCACAACTGAAATAACAATGATGTGAACAATGACGTTTAGCCAAATGTTCATGATTCGGAGAACTATGATGATGATGGTTACATTTCATGTCATTCGTTGATGTTTGACTACTAGATCCGGCATTAGCTTCTATAGAACCATCAGCTGAACTAATTGAAGAAATGGACCCACCAGAAACTGAAGCAGCAGTATGAATAGTACGATTACGAAGTCGTAATTCTTGTTGAACAGCCATATGCATTTCACGAGAATCGAAATTTACAGCCTGACTATTTCTGAAAATAATAATCAATAAAAAAATTATAATAATTAAACAATTTAAAACATTCTGTTAGGATAATTTAAAATTTTTTTAATAAAACAAAAATGATATAAGCATGATGTTTCAGTGCTAAACCATTAGACTTAATTAGTGATAATTGAAAAGTATTCCAATAAATGAATAAATTTTGAATCAGATTAATTATTAAATAAAAAAGTGATTTTTTAAAAAAAACCTCATATCCTCCTCTCTAACACAGTGAAATATTCTAAGAAATATAATTCAATCGAATAATAATACTTAAAAATAGAATATGGGATAATCGAGTGGATAAAATAATCAACAACAACAAAAAAAGGGAAGAAAAACAAATTTGGTTCAATCAACATACAGTTGTGAAACAGAAAACAATGGGGACAATTTAACCAGTGACATATTAACATATTAAACAGTAACATTGTAATTCGTGTTATACTTTGTATGAAATGATTTTGTAATTGATTAATCACTAAATAGTAATTGATGTTTTGTTTGCCTAGTTGAATACTATTGATCAAATTGTAATGAAGTTATCAATTTAAATAGCTGGACATAATATATGATAAAAGAGTTACAGACTATGCTAATGTATCACTCGTTATATAATAGTACTTATTTTTTTTTACCTCGGATATATGTTTACATTTCAATAGTACTGTACTAGAGAATGAGAATGTTTTATTTTTATTCAAATAACTGTTAAGTATCGATTTATTTGAAAGATTCATGCTGCTTTCAATTACTTATTGCATAGAATAAGACTGAAATGGTTCGATGAAATAAAGAAAATAACACTGTTAGATGGCCCCCAAATGCCCTGGTATGGACGAGAGTGGGGAGAGTCCGCTCACCCTCTCGAAATGCTCTCACATGGTCACGCGTATATAACCTCTGCCAGGGAAGTCCTACTCACTGCCTTCTCGTGGCGGGGGTGTTGTTCACGAAAATGAGAGGACGAAAAACGAATGTCCGGCGCTTTAACCGGATTCCAAACCAATGATGCACATGGGCTCCAGTATCCTGCAGGAACAAATGGCGTATGAACCAATCGTTGGTCACCCGCTACCATGGGATTGCATCTCCTTACGATGCTCCACTGCCTTGTGGATCAGACCCTCAGGTCGAAGGCTCGGGGTGTGGCCCCCTAAGAAAACCACCTGCTTCGGTCTGGGCACCCGGGCAGTATCACAGCCCTCACACACACAAATATAGTGTGGCGCATATATATTTGGTACCCTTTTGTACCAATATTTATGTGTTGAAATAAAATAAAAATTTATCTATATGGAACAGTGATTACACCATGTATTTACAAATGATTGAAATGCATAGTTATATATTACTTTAAATGTTCGGTTCATATGATATGAATTCATTGAATTAGCAGTTAATTAATGTGTTATTTCAATATGTGTATACAATTCATAAAATTAGTAGATAAAAATTCTTTAACTAACAAATATAATTAAATTACTAAGCTATATGTTTTCCAAATCTTTGTTTAACATCACCTTATTAAGATGAGCTAAAACATTCAAAACCGCTATGAAGTTCAATCTAATTTAAAAGAGAATTCTCATTTAAGCTTTATAATAAACAATGAAATTATTGAATTGCTTCTTTATATAAAATTTATTCACTGTTGATCTATTGATCAATTGGAAAGTTATTCACGTTTGTTTTTTTTTAAAAAAAAATTCTTTTTATTGTTTATTCTAGTTATCACTGATTGATTGATTGATTCATATTGAATTGACCTTTATTCACTGTTTTACTAATGAATTTCACAATGTTAATTCTTACATCATATCAGACAGAAACTTGTATTGTTTTATTCATTAGAGTTTTTATATTAAAAAGGACCCAGTATTCTTTTTAGTCAAATAACATTGAAGTGAAAATTAATTCATTCTGATTCTTTTCATAGTTAGTTTATCAAGATTTTTTTTTTAGAAAAAAATTATTTGCCTCATCTTTTTTCCTCGTCTTTTGATGAACACAAAAGATATAGAAATTCAAAAGAAAAAAAATATTTGCTAAATGAACGGAATAGAAAAAAGAAATTGAATGGCTTTTCTTTTATTTTACGATGAAAACTTATTATCAGAAGAGGTTTTGTGGAGAATCTCGCGGGGGGGGGGCGGGATCGTAGATGAGCACTGTCGAGGAGTCACATACTAAGACGAAACGGCTATCCAGTGCTTCCAGGTTTTCCATGGTGGTCGTCTAGTTTCAATTAACTCATGATTTCAACTAGTGAAAACTTAATTTTTAATTATGTTATAGACCATAAATCCCATATAATAATAATAATAATAAGGCACTAATTAATGACTACCTTCAAGAGATTTTGAAGTTCTAATACAAAGTCGAAAACCAGTAAAATTCGACCATGTCGATAATGATGAAACACGATTACACACCGACTGATGTTAGAAATGTAAACCACTTGATTTTAAATAGCTCATCTAAAAGATAGGAGCAAGTGGCAAGGTATGAAAATCATGGGTACGATAATTGGAGGGGTTATAAGTGAGCCCAATTCTAGAACAGAATGTGTGTTTAGTCCTTTTCAGTTTTCAGTGGTTCGTCAAATGATTATGATAAAATGTGATAAATCATCACAAACCTATTCTGCTAAGAATTATATGCAACTTATCAATCAAGTTTGAGTCTATGTATATTTGTTTCCATGTTATGGTTAGAAAAAACCTTTTGTATCTTACGTTTAATCATGAACGAAATATACTTTGTTGTAACAGAGTAATTATTCAAGTTCAAACTTTTGAAATTGTCGATATACATTTCGTTATTCTTAAATTAATATTCCTACTTCGTTTTATACATTTGGTTCCCCTTTACGAATTTGAGTAAAATCAAAATAATAATTTAGACAGAATAATATGAATTCATTATATTTCGTAGTTTCTCATCAGTCACTTACAACCATTAATATGTATTAATACGTAACATTGAAGTATGATATAATATAACATAATTGGCACTAATGATGGAAAGATTTAAAAATAATACAGTTTATCAATAATGATTTTATATACATTCTCCAAAATTATTACCAAACAAAAATCACAATATCTATCCGGTTTGCCGAAACAGTAGCAATGCAAACACTCCAATATGATTTATGTGTTTAGAAAGAGATAGTTATCAACTTATCACTAATTTGGTAAATTATTATTTAAATTAGCCATTATTGTTATTTTATTTGTGTTTATTTTGTTATGTAGTCTTTAATAAACTAATTCTTATTTTATGTACACTGAAATTATCCTTTCATGGATCGGTTTTCATTCACTTAATTCTTCAAACTTATGCAAACTCTTCAAATCCTTTTCAATTACTATGTAACCCATCTTGTCATTTTCTAATTCTAGACAATATCCAACTCATAACTGTCATTTATATCTATTTTCAAGTGATTTAAATCTTATGTAAATTCTCAATAACTTCTATTATTAGCACATAATCTGTCTTATTTATTTCTGGATATCACTTAATTACTGAATTCATACTATTGTTGTTTTGATCTTTCTTTTCTATCATTCTTCACTTGCCTATGCACAAACTATTAGTTATACTTAAAGTTGTTGGTCTATGTTTATAAGAGAAAAGTATATTCGGATTAGTGTAATCTTACTTAGTGACTCAATTAAGGAATACATAAAGTAGATTCAAGGATGTAAACATTATTTACAACAAAATTTTATTTCCTAGATTCATAATCATGATAATAATCGCTTTATCCCATGTTATATATTTTGGTTGTAGTAAAGAAATCTCATGTTGGTTGGAGTCAATAAACAATTAATTCCAGACATTTTTTGCAGATTTATTTTTAAAAAAACCCGATTAGCCTCCTGTAGAAGTGAGATGTCATTTTGTTGTGCGATCGATCTAGTCTGATGTCGATTTAGAAGCTTCATATGAGTTTATCTAAAACAGGCACTTGATTGGGAGAAATAACAGATTTTGTTGACTAATTGAATCAAGAATATACGTACAACCGATGGATAAAGATATATCTTTCTGCTTCAGAAATGTTAGCGGGACATAGACTGGATTAAAACATACTCAATGAATGATTGCGTTGGTGCACGCTGATTGGTTAATTCTTAACCAACCAGCACTAGTCGATAGTTGGAGAATACTCTAGAATCCTCTTATGTAAAAAACTATAAATATACTGACGTTTTTCCCTATTGTGCTTCTTGCATTTTACTTCCATCAAACCGTGTTATTTGGAATATAATCTCTTTCCTGTTCAACCGTGTTCTGATTTGGGGACTTGTCGAGTGATTGGTGTCCAAGAATACTAAGCAATAGGAATAGCTGGGGTCATAATCGTAATAAAGAGATTATAACAAGAAAATAAAGCCATACCAATGGAATATGTCTTAGAAAGTGAAACTAAATCCTGGACAATAGAGTGGGTCAGTAAGTAACTCTGATTTGTCACTTGCTTTACGTCTGATTTGCATTGTGTAATAGAAATTTACACTGGTCAATCACTAAATGATTTATTTATTTATTTAAACACATAGATATTGGTACAAAGAGGCACCAAATACATATGCGCCACACAAATCTCATTCGATATGTGTGAGGGCTGTGATACTGCCCGGGTGCCCAGACCGAAGCAGGTGGTTTTCTTAGAGGGCCACACCCCGAGCCTTCAACCCAAAGGTCTGATCCACAAGGCAGTGGAGCATCGTAAGGAGATGCAGTCCCATGGTAACCGGTGACCAGCAATTGGTTCATACGCCATTTGTTCCTGCAGGATACTGGAGCCCATGTGCACCATTGGTTTGGAATCTGGTTAAAGCGCCGGACATTCGCTTTTCGTCCTCTCATTTTCGTGAACAACACTCCTGCCACGAGAAGGCAGTGAGTAGGATGATTCAAACAGATAAGACCATATCAAGGCACACAGATTTGTGGACATATTCGATAAAATTCGATCAAAACAGTGAACTAGACAAATACGACAATAATTACTACTAGTTCAATGTGTTAAGAATTTCTAGGAAAAAAACCCCCTGCTGAAACAAACCGTGGTATATAGAAATTTTCATCAAATATATACCTAATGTATTAATTCTAGTGTGATTTATCAACTACTACAAGAGCTCAGAACGATGTTAGCTTTGTGACGGCCTGTAACCTTTCTACGAAAGCGTATGAGTACATCTTATGACCAACATATGTAACTAGCTAGTTAAAATACATCGATTGTAAGAAAAAGTCATTGTAATGTTTGCACAGTTGGTAAATGGGATGCCAAGAGTTTTGAACAGGTTTTCACTTAGTCAATGTATCTCAAGCACATAAAAAAGCGTATGCATATAAACTAATGAGTGCTTAAGATAAAAAGACCGGGTACTTGAAATACAGATAGTGAAAGCTTTCGTGCTGTGTTCTTTTATTTAAACTTAAAAGTGGGGGACTGAGGAATGAGTTTTCGGCAGATCAATAGGCGTCAAGAATATTTGGGTCACACCTTACAGTTAATCTTGGCAATTGACGCGCATAACTAGTCGAAGCTTAGGACCCTAATCGATAGACGAAATAGCACATGCGGTCTAGACAGATGTAACCTGGATTCTGGTCGATAAATTATTTTTACAGATATCAAATAATTAGAAGTTTTAACAAAAATAGAACACGATTACTATTAATTAAGCTGGTTTAAGTGAAGATTTTCTGTTATACGAAGCTAAAATCAGCTGGACAAAAGTTATCCTGTGTTTCCTGTCTTACAACCGTCCTTCAGTTGATGTTACCCTGTGAATTACATATGATAAGGCAAATAATTGAAAACAATGATTTATAGACTATAAAATGAACTAAAAACGCCTATAAATGTATGAGTTATATACGATTCATACTACAAAGAATACGAGAAGTGATTTTGCGGTTAAAGTACAAGACTGAAATATTTACTTGCAGAGTTCACGACCATCCTATCTAATTAGCTTTCGGTAAATGAACAATAGATCTGTACGGTTTCATCTACAGTATATGCTTCTGAGGTGAATATACAATTCTTTAAATAATAACAGGGTTAGAATGAAGTGGGGAAAACAAAGTGTATCCAACATTTCTACACCAATCTAATAACGCAATATCTTTAATACAGACTTCTCAACGTAAAAACTTTAAAAATAATCAATTCAATGTGCATTCAGTGCACATGATAGCAATACCATTGTAACATCCTCCTATGAGTAATTCCATCTAAGCACACCGTAGATGGAATATTCTGACGTTACATCTCTAAAAAATATTTGTGACTACAAGATGATGGTGAAAAAAGTTTGAGTCATTAAAGTGCATCTTTAAATTATTATTATCGTGCAAAATTACCTTTCCATGATTTCACGTAATAAAGAATCCACTTCGGGGTTATGGGTCATTCTTACGGGAGGTAGGACAACTCTACGGTTATAACGTCGGGTAGGAATAGTTGTTGTTGTTAATGATGTCGTGGCTACATTGGTATTTGCAATCGAATTATTTTGTCCCGATGCAACATAAGACGTTTGTTGAGTATTATTAGAGTTCTGAAAATTTCCGGCATTACCATTTATAAATATAGATGCACCCTTTTCATCTTCGTTACTATTATTGTTACCGCATGTGCCATTACTATTTATATTGATTTGGCCAGTTTGTGGTACTTGAGGATATCTAAATTCATTAGCACGTCGAGATTGGTGATGACAGTAAGATCGTTGAGTGGAACAACTGTGATCCATTGAACAATTACTTATTTCAACAGTTTTATTATCATGACATGTACAGTTTGAATAATTGTGTTGTTTTTTATTGTGGTATGTATTAGCTAAACATATGTGTATTTGTATGTACATTTAAGCATGTGTTATGGATATAAAAGACAAAAAAACAAAACAAATGAAATGTTGCAGAAAACAAATATACAATAAAAAAGTGAATATTCTCTGTAGTGAAAAGTCGCATATATAATTACAGTTGTTATTTGATGGAATTAAGGAGTGCAGAATAATTAGGATACTACAATGGTACCGAATGAAATGAATAGTTAGATAAATTGATAAAGTTTGGTTACTTGAATCCATTTTGAGTTGATCGAGTGAAACATTTTGGAAGTATTAACGTAAAAGCTAAAACTAATAAGTAATGAAGAGGAGATACCACTCTTAATGCTACTTAGTAAGTCTTCAACTTGAACACGAACATACAGACTTCCTACCGTCTTCCTAATCTCCAGAAGTTTTTCACTCTTGAACAGAAAGAAGGTAGAAAGTATAGAAACTTTACTTCCAAGATTAGATTATGTACAAAACTAGGGTATTACTAATGAGTCTTCGGATGACCCTGAGGTTCCGTAAGCTTTTAGAAGGTGGAAACATTAATCATAAAGCCGTAACTTAACCAATCAGTATAAGGGAAACATTGATAAATTCTAAAACACAGGAAGCAAGACTATCTAACAAATAAAAAGTATATATACATATATATATTTGGGTGAACAGATATATAGATGGATGCATTGAGGAAACCGTGAAGGTAAACCATTAGTGGAGTTGGTAGGTGGGAAAGTAGTAATGTGTTGACGCTATTCCCAAGGCTGTTTATAAGTAGTATGCGGCGGAGCGTCGCACGGGAGTTGATGTAGTCGACGGCCGAAGGGAGGAGTTTCAGGAAGCCAAGAGCACGGCGAGTTCGGAATACTTGTGAGACCAGAAGGAAGGCTATAGAAGTTCACAAATAGCTTTGGTTGACGAATACACAATAGATGCAAATGGAAGATATATATTCCATCTAATAAGTTTGTTCGTACATTACAGTAATACCAATAATTAGAAATCATGCTAACATCGTCACAGATACAAAAAACACACAAGTGCAGTGAGAAAGACCCAGAATAAACATGCGCAAACATTTGACGCTCAACACTACAAAAAAGAACAAGCTAAAACAAAAAATGTAAAGGGTGTCAACCTCACTCATGACTATTGCTCTTAATAAGCATTACAAGTTATTACCAGTAAATAGCAATGGTACGTCTATAGGAAAAACGGAAAACTTTTCCAGTTCCATTAAAAGACAGTTAATAGTTTCTAATTAAAAATCTAACAGCAGCTTTGAGTTTGATGAAGTTTTTCAAGCTATTATGTAATAAATGTCTTGGATTCAGGGACTGAGTGATCAATAGTGAAGTATCTTTTAGTCTTGAAGATCATTCCAGTTCGTGACCGAAACTATCTTAGAATGTTAATTTACTCGAAATCTATTTTAGATATCTGATTATATAATTTCATGGCAGCCATACTCCCAAATAATCAGTGAGGTGGATCTACTCATGTCTTTCATGATACATAACTAGACTAGCATGAAATTCATGACATTTTTTATTAGGATGATCACGTTATTTGATATTTCGTTATTTAATATCAGTTCTTTAATTTTGAGATAACCTTGTTAGTATTTTTCCAATCCATAAATTCTCACTGACTTTTGCTGCAACCTGACTGGTCACTATCACTTTCGGTTTGACAATTTTACTACACCAAGATATTTTTTTTGTTACCATATTCACTTTATTGTACTACATCAAAATTCATACCTTCAGTTTTTTTCACTCTCGCCTTTTTATATACCTCCGTAATTTTAGATCAGTGTTGAGTCAGTTGTAACATATTCCGTTTAAAACGGGATAATCTATTGCAAGTAAAAATTACTGAAGGCCCAACCGAACCCAGTTCTAAGACACAATAGTATCTTTAATAGTTGAATTCATGAGTCAATTAAAGCTAGACCATCGTGGAAAACCTAGGAACACTGGACGGCCGTTTCGTTCTAGTATGGGACTCTTCAACGGAGAATTCGATAATTACAAGACTCAACTTCTGATGTTCAACAACGTAGTTTGAACACCATATAACCTAATTTAACCTGAGTAACCAGTTTTTATCAGTAGTCTTAGTATAAACTATTAGCATATTACTTATCGCATGATGATTTTCGTACTAAGAAAAACTTTTATTTCATTTCGTTTCGTCCAATTAAATGATTAGTTTTAAAAAGGTAACAATTGGTTATTTATTTCTGAAAATTGATATAAAAGGTAAATACTTCTCAAATAATCACCTTTCCTCCAAATTACGAACGTAAATAAAGTATAGAGTGAAAGCTTTATCGTTTCGAACGTTGTCAAGGACACGGATAATATGTCCTCGAGTATGTTGTATCCGGTAGTGTTCCAATCACTTGAAGCGTTAAAGAGCGCCATCAGAAATTATGAAAAGGCGACATACTTTCATTATTCAGTTCGCAAATCTGATTTTTATAAGAATCAAGCCGTTTGTTCAATTTGTATGTCGGAGAAAATGTCGTAGAACACTTAAAGGAACCTCAAAACATATTAGACGAAGGAGGCTAGTAGATTAATCTTACTACATTTTTCATGGAAGGCTGCAATGAACACTCAATGTCCGGCCTTCATCTATCGTAAATTTATTGAAGGTTACTGAACTGCTGTTCGTGGGAATATGCATCATAATCATGAGTGCACATCCTTGAGGTACGACAACAATTTTCAGATGAGAAGGTTAACTTATGTGGAATTTGAAACAGTGCGACCTCTGCTGAATTCGGGGACAGCAGCATTCAATATTGTCCACTTCGTTTACCAGTCTTATGGGAAACGCCTGAATTCGCAAGATTTTTTAACATGTGTCAGAAAATGTCTTCACAGGCCAACCTTTCAGGTAAGCAATATGCCCAATTATGTTGCAAATTGTAGGTGATTACGTTAAATTGAAAGCTCACATTATGTTCCAACTATCGAACAGACATGGATTTGAATGCAACACTAAGTAATGAAGGATAGAACATTGTTTCAATAAACTCAGAAGAATTCAATGACAGAGACAACAACACATGAAGATGCACACATGGCAACTGACTTGCTCAGCCGCCAAGTGAACCTGCTGATGGAAGAGCCTGGATTTTTGTCACTGTAATGTGATATTTGATTCGATCTGTGGCTGGAACTGGCAATCATGATTTCACAGATAAAATTGTCACATGTGTGGTTCGATAACCGAAGTATAATGATATCATTATTCAGGACAAGCGGAAATGTGAAGAGACTGAGTGAAGGTCCATTTTAAGGTCAAGCAAAATTTGATTTAAATTTTGCTTTTTCAATTTGTTACAAATTGAATCAATACATTTCTGTTAATTGCATTCCATATACATGCTGTATTTTGAATGACAGTCCTAACATCATTACTTTTAACGTTAATTATGACTGAACTAGACTAACAGTTTCATCCGATGCATTTCGTATTATTTCGGTAAGAAATTCCCTAGGTTGTGTTCATCACTATAATTACCAGATCTTTATTATTTGCATAAAGGCTAATTCATATTAGTAATCATCGAGAAGCAATATATCATTATGTTAACTGTGAAGTAAATGAAATAATCATTGTGGTTTATCCGTGCCTATGAACTCCTTTCCTATGTAATACGATTCAGTCAATACTGATGAAAATGTTTGACCTTTAAGTATTTAATAAAACTTGACAGCTATCATTAACGTTGCATTATTTTACTGTAAGTTGAAAAGTATGTACTATAATCAGCTCACCGTTACAATAAAATTGTTTCTATAGGGAAGGTCAACTGAACTAACTATTAATTGTCTGAAGGGGTTTGTGGAGATTTTAGAAATTTACACAGATTGAAATCATGAGTCAGTTGAAGCTAGACCACCATTGAAAACCTGGAAGCACTGGACGGCCATTTCGTCCACAGCAGTGCGCATCCAGGTTTTCAATGGTGGTCTAGCTTCAACTGACTCATGATTTCAATCTATTAATTGTCTATTAACCGTCTAATGAACACTGATCTGTTTAATAATAGTACATGTAAACTTCAATAAGAATGTTTCAATATTTTTCAAATTGTTCAGCTGGAAAATAATAAGATTTTATTTATTATATAGAAATTCATCGTTGATATAGATACAAATGACCTTATTCGTATTAAGGAGTGTGGTTGAATAAAAAAATTAATTATGTCAGAAATAAGCCTGTAAAATGTTTATTATTGTAACATTTAGCTGTTTCGGGTTTAATATTAAAATAAATATTCACATATTACAAATAGGTACATAGGATTCATTAGTATCTCTCTAATATACTTAACCAATAAATCCAGACGTAAAGTACACTACATGTTACTAATATGTTGGATAAGTCACTTTAAGATCAACTAGATGGCGTACAGTTAATGGTAATGATTTTGCCAACTTCAATTCTTTATATTTCAAATATTAATCACATTTGAGTTGTCATTTAGAAATTAAATTCGAAAATTAAGATAGTGATTTTGGTAGTATAGGGTTTGTGGAGATTATTAAGTTTTTGATTGAAATCATGAACCGATTGATGTTAGACCACCTTTGGAAACCTGAAAGCACCATTGGATGCCGACCCAGTGGTTCAGTAGGTTAAGCGTTCGCGCGCGAGACCCAAGGCCCTGGGTTCGAATCCCACGGGCGGGATCGTGGATGTGCACTGCTGAGGAGTCCCACGGTAGGACGAAACGGCCGTCCAGTGTTTCCAGGTTTCCAATAGCAATTTTGTTTTACTGCATATTTACAAAATATTTGCTATTGACATTACGTAAAAAATAACAATTACCGTGCAATTCCCAACCACAATAACTGATTTACATTATTGTATACACAGAGAAATTATCTTATCATAATTATATACTGTTCAACTATATGTATATACTTGGGAACAATTTCTAATTTCAATGGATTTGAAAAGTAACGCAGCAACTGTTCATTTGACTGTACACTATTGTGTTTAGGAATAAAATATTGCGTTTATTATCGATATCTTTTTAAAAGAGAAATAAAATAATTCTTTCATATTAAGAATTATTGTCTGTGAAATCACCCAAGCATAAATATTATTTGCTTCTTCCTCTGAAATTATTATTAATGTAAAAAAAACTATAAATGCTTATTTATTCTCACAGATTGAAATCATGAGACAGTTGAAGCTAGACCACCATGGAAAACCTGGAAGCACTGGGCGACCGTTTCGTCCTGGTACGGGACTCCTCAGCAGTGCGCATCCACGATCCCGCACCACGCGGGATTCGAACCCAGGACCTACTGGCTTCGCGCGTGAGCACTTAACCATCAGACCACTGAGCCGGCATCCAATGGTGTTAATGTTTAACTTCAACCAATCCACGAAGTTGCGCCACCGTACACCATTGTCTTCAGTGAGCTGATATCTCACAACAGACCTGGTTGAACTCCACTGGTAACGGCTTCCCACTAGAACTCCAGGAGTATCTCTTGAAGTCAGTCACTAGTGAGCAGATGATTATCTTCTGAAGGGGTTTTGTGGAAGTTTATTCACCGAACTTTGGCGTTTAGAGTGATTAATATATACCCTATTCATTCCATTATATCACGACAATTTATTTATATAATTGCACGATTATATGACGATTATTATAAGGCCAAACTATGTATTAAAATAACTTATTGGGATACTAAAATAAATATCAGTTTACTACTTGTGGATTAAACATTTTATTAGCATTCATGTTCAATAATCCCTATTATTAGTTATTCTCAATTTAATTTTAATAATAAGTATGATCTTTCTCTTGTCATGATAACTAACAAATTCAGTTCAATTTCTATGTGATCGAGAAAAAAATTAAATAAATTTTTTATTTCAATAACTATTCACAGACACAAGTATAACAGGGCAGTTGAATAGAATTGATGTCTATTTTTTTTTCAGAAGTTAACATTTTATAATAAATGATGATAGAACCGTCTGACGGAATTATTTTACCAAAATAAAATTCAGTCAAACCACTTTATGCTACTTCGGCGGGGGGAGGTCAGGAATTACAATCGCCGTGCAATAATCGTCAATACACATTAATAAAGGTGCATATTAATAAAGAAGAGTGCTGAAAAGGTGAATAACGTTATTAATAGTGTGAAATAAATTTGAATCGCCATTTGTTCCTCTTCCCACGAGGGATCGTGGATCGCACTGTTTAGGAGTCTTACAGTAGGACGAAACGGCCGTCTAGTGCTTCCAGGTTTTCAATGATGGTCTAACATCAATCGATTCATGATCTCAATCAAGAATCAAAAAGGTAGTTTTCTAAACGTCTAATGAAGTCTGCTTCTGACAAATACTGTAATTCTTCGAATTTAGCAACAAATTGTTATTCGTATTACCCTGACCATGTTATCTCATATGTCTATTTCGAACATTCAGTCAGCTACAAAGTAAGTTAGCAAAGGTCAAACGAGCTCTTGAATTTGTGGAGATATCGTCAAACACAAACCAACTGGGGCTGATCACAATCTCAAGATGAGTGAAGTTGTCGACGCGCTCGACTACTTCTCCCCCTTATCCATAGTTCAAGTATTGACACAGGCCAGTCCTGAAGCAACAATTCGCATTTACAGGAGGAGAAAGACATCCAAAACATCTTGGTATTGTCGCTCATACATAAATATATATATCGAAGCATAACTTACATTTCACCCCGGGATAATTAACACTACTGGTAAGTGACAGGTCTGAAGAATTCGACCCGAACCCGCTTGTGCTTCCACTGCAGCAACTTAGGCTACCTCCACCACAGGCGCAACAACTAGAACAACTTGAAGCCGATGTTGCAGTTTCGGAACAACATGTTTGTTGGTTAATATCATAACTATTATTAGGATCACTTTCACTGGAATCTAATGATGTAGTCATTTTTATGTTTTCTGAATGAAGCACTAAGCTACTACTACTATGACGATGATGACTATTACACGATGGTAATGAAGTAGATAGGACACCGGCAGTATTTCGAGCAAAAGCGGCAGCAGCACCTATGAAGTGATGAAACATAAAAACACACGAGTAGACAAAGAGAATAAACAATATTGATGTAATGAATAAAAATAATATATTTTTAATATCCCAATGTATAGAAAAATGAGATTGCCTGATGTTTCATGATTCAGTGTAGACCACTTCTTCAGAGAATAAATAAGCAAATTACATTGGGCCAAGTTTAAATAGCACAAAGGGACAATGCAAAAAGTATTTAGTGCGAACAGTAAAAAAACTGGTCTGACCGAGTCAATGACATGCCAATCCAGTCAATGTGATTTGTGTGCTATACATTTGTATGTGTTTTGATGGATGAAAATTGGCATTTTTAGTGTCAAAGGATCGAGTTGAATATGTACATATGATAATAGTGTGAGATATCAGCAGAACCAGACATAGTATCTCAGATAGATAGACTAAGTCAGATGGATAATAAGGCTTTCTTTTATATAGAGGGTAGTGAGATTTAGAGATATATGGAAAACTACAACTTCACGCCCTTCTTTGTAGAAGCAATTCTGTGCTGACATAAAGGGGATCATATCCTTTATATGAACTAAGGTATTTTGAAGGGTGCTGGTTGTTTTAATGCTGTGTTGTTTTAAGACTCTTTAGAGTTATTTGATGTATCAATGCAGTATGGTAAAACTGTAGTGCTAATTCATGCTATTTCATTCGAACTATTATCTAAAAGTAAGTCGTCTCGTTTTATCGCATTTTTTGTAATGTTCCTAAGAAAATTGTTAAGTTGTAAGATCTTAATTAAATTCTTTTGTTATTTTTGTTTATCCTCTTCAGATGTAATAATCTTGCTTGCTCATTTAGAAAGATTTCTGTACTGAATGGATATGCCGAATTGAATTCGATATAGAAATCCGAGTGTACTGGTTTTCGATAGTGCTATAGATGTTGGATCCTCAAAAAACACTTGGTAAACGTCTCATTTTTGAAAATTCGAATTTCTTATTTTTGCGCCAGAAGCGACCACTTTTACCTTGAGTTTGTATTTCCCACTTAGGAGGATCCTAAATATCATTGGTTCATTACCTCTTTCAGTACACTTTTCGTGACGTTTCCCAAGAACATTCTTGTACTGCATATATACTCATGAGTTGTGTGCTTGACTGCTCATGGTTTCGGACTGCTTGTAGAATATACTTTTTCATCGACTGAATCTGGTTTTCTCCCTCTAGTTAGCAAGGGTGAGGCGCAGTGGAAGAGTTTATTTTTTCATGTTGTTGTGTTACCGGCCTATCAAAGAAACCACTAAAAAAAGCAATCCTTGTCATAATCATGAACGTATTGGTGAGTTTTTCTACAAAGAGACGATGAACTGTGGAGTGAGACAGTAACTAATCAATTGTATTTGAAGACTGAGTTATGTAGTTAAGTGAATGAAGTTGAAAATGAAGGCCATTAGCTAGTAATCTAATAATATCGTTATCATGAGATAGATTAAGTGTGTGACCATGAATGCGGATTGTTAAAGAATCTCAAACTCAAATGAATAGGCTTCCTCAGTTTATTAAAACTTTAGTCTAATGTATATTATTGATCCTGCTAACATAAACACGAGAAACACATAACTACTTATCAATGCAATTATTTAACAAATGCTACACTGATAAGATTAATTTTCATAGAAGCTAAAAGATTAATTGTTGCTGTGAAAAATATCTATTACAATTTAACGGCAAATATTACTATTAAACATAATTAGTCTACTAGGATAGAAGTTTCCTGATATATTTAGTAGTACAATTAGAAAATATGGACAGCAGATAAGTGATATAGGAAATGAAAATTTTTTGACCATCCTTTTATCATAAAAAGTAGATGGGTTAATTAAAGTCACAATAAAATGTGGGACCAATATGTACCAGGTTAAGCTGTTACGCCACATAACCAGGGATCAGTTGAACAGGCCTTTCAATTGACTCAACTCAGGTCAGTCTCATATTCTATGTATGATGAGCATTTGTAGACAATCAGTACCTATCTATCTTTTAATCTTACCTGATAGTGTTGTTAGAATGGTGACTTTTTAAAGACTATCAGATAATGTACTTAATAGTCCATATAACAATAAAATAAATGCACAAACTTATAGTTAATAGTTTAATTGATTCAACTATAATATAAAGTTATTTTAATCAACTACTGAGTCGACACAGAAAATAACAACCTATACTACCAAATAGCCATTCTTCAAATAAAATCTACATGTCAGTTGAGTATTCAATGAGCTAAAGAACGTAAAAAGTACAAATGTTTCGTTTATCAAACAAATAATCTCCTATATTATAATTAAAATATATAATCAGAAGGAGTTTGTGGAGATTTTAGAAATTTTCACATATTGAAATCATGAGTCACTTGAAGCTAGACCACTGCTGAGAAGTCCCATACTAGGACGAAACGGCCGTCCAGCGCTTCCAGGTTTTCAATGGTGGTCTAGCTTCAACTGACTCATGATTTCAATCTGTAAAATATATAAATTAAATTTATTTTCAAAAAAAGATCTAAACACAGCTAATAAATCGTTTTCTACATACATATGCAATAAAGAATATACCGATATGTTACATTTATCATGAATAAAAACAAATGAGTTGTAAAAGAAATAAAGTGAAATAGTGATTAACCATATATATTGTTTGTTTGTTTTTCCAAGTCATATGGTTACATATCTATCAACCAACAGACATTTATTGACTAACAGTTCTCTCGTCTTTCTTCATCAATGATTTAAACTAAAAGTAAATATTCATTAATAATAATAATATAACTAATTACATAACAGTTATTACTTATTTTCAAGCTAAACTAATCCACTTCAGTTCAAATATAGAAAGTTTGCAAAAGCATGATTATATTGTCAATCTTTACTAAATTATCAGTAATATATTTCAGTAAAGTGCAAATGAGTTTATAATGACACAACTATCAACAATAAAAGGCTTGGTACACATCTACACCACGTCGAATTGTCGTACTCTAAGGTTAAAAATCGAAGAAATCAAAACAATACTGAACTAATAGAAAAAAGCTTAACATGGAGAATATGATTACCAACTGATGAACAGAATCGATGAATAAACTATATGAAACAATATTAAGAATTAAGATTTTAAAGAGAATGAAACATGAACAAATTTGCATTGTTATTATAGTGAACGAAGAGTTGGTGAGGATAATCTATTTATTGTTCAATGCCAAATCACACAGTGGCTTAATAAAATGTGACAATTCTACACTAAATATATCATTTGCACATCTTCTTCGAATTGTTTTTTACAGACTTCACTGTTCCTTCATTTGTGTTGTTATTTTGATTGCTTTCAGTTTCCTCTAATTTTCTCTTCATTTTCCTCTAATGTCAGTAAGAATTCTAATTCACATGCCTGATACATACTACTTATACCTGTTTGTGTAAGTAGCACATAGCATACTATGACCTATTTAAACTATTTCAATTGAAACAAATTCAGACTAGCTTCTTGACTTCAACCGAGAGGATTACTTCTTCCATAGCAGCTTACTTCAACAATCTATTATCTCATTGACTGATATCATATCCAAATGTAAACGAACTTGATTTCCATCCAACTTCTATATTTAATAGCTTGACGCTTCAAAAAGGCTAGCAGATAACACTTTACTAACTGAATGGTATAGATATCTTAAGAATGATCAAGTTCCTTATCATTTATTGAAAAGATGTAAGAAATAGAAGAAAAAAAGATTATTAATCTTAATTTAAAAAATATTGTCAGAATACACAACTGAAATTGTGGCCTCGTTAAATTATTCATTAATAAAGATGGTTAATCCAATAAAAATTAGATCAGATTAAAAATGTTATCATGGGAAATAAAACAGTACAACTATTATTTTTATCTCTAAAAGGAAGCTTGTCTATGGTTAGATCTTATCAACAGTGTTGTGCGTTTACATCGTTAAAACAGATTGAACCTAAAACCTTGAAATTTTGAAACGAGGCTTTAAACCAATGAATTGTATCTTATGATTCAAATTTCTTAATTCAATCAATTTATGATATAGCGCTACATTTCTGGTTGCCATCAGTGGGTAACAGTTTTACACACTATATAAGTGAGATTCATTAGTCAGGATTTCTAATCAGAATTTCACGGAAGTGTGGTGTGTCAATATGTTTTCGCACTGATTTGACGAATCATTGGTTTAGCGCAGAGATGGGGTAATAGAAGTTGGTGTTCTGATTAAGTTGTATCGAATACGAGTGAGAGAAGCGGTGACCACTAGCACTTCATTAAGAGAGCTTATGCCTGTATATGCCACGATACTCATGAGCGCAAGCTTATATACCTCTGGTGTGCTTATAACGTATAAGATGTAGCAAATACGAGTGAAGAGAATGGTGAAGTCAATCCTCCCAAACGGACAACTTTGCCTTTCTATATGCCATGGGTTACATAGGTGAAAACCTATGTATTATTAGTATGCATGTAATATATACTAGCTTTAGACGACGCCTGCGCATCAAGACCCAGGGGGTTTCTAATGACTTCCCCACAAAAAGTCCATGTAGTGGGCTTGTGTACCTCAAAAATGACAGTTTCCTTGCCAACAAAGACAGTAGGCTTCCCCCAATGAGGCCTGGCCATCCTCGTGGCTCGAACACCACTAAACTATATTCTAGTGAGTACAAAGTTTATACTGAATTTGAGCTGATTAGTAGTAATATGCCGTACATGATTACTGGTGTAAGTGACTAAAATTAAATTCAGTATACTTTGAAGTTAAGTGATTGCAAACAATCGGACCTAGGTTCCATGATAGTCGGCATTTAGCAGCAAGTCTGGCCTGTAAACTTGAGGGAACTTACACTAATCGTTGGATTCCATTTTCTTCGACTCATTAGCTATTTTGAGTATGATATCAGTCACTATTCTGGAAGTAATCAGTGTAAATATTTAACTTTTATTGCACGACGCCTGTTCGAATCCCCTCAAAATTGCAGATAAGCTTTTACGGCAAGTGCGAATACAAACACGAAACCTAAATACAGAATTTCAACTTATTTGATAAATGGTTTAATATCCATTGATCAAAATTTTCAAAAAGTAGTTCAGCTTGATAGTCTTTTATTATTGCTTCTTCAAGTGATGTCAATTCATGGTGAAAAGTCTTTTAAACAGCAGAAATAATTCTAACCCATTAAAACAATATGAAATCTTTACACTTTTCCGCAAGTAATGTAGCTTTAAAAGAAGACGTGATGAGAATCGATTGTTGACAGCTATAATAACAAAAATCTAATTAAACATACGTAAAGAAGTTGTTTTAATTCTTAATTAGTTTTAAAAATTGTTCGCTTGAAATATTTACTCTTTACTTGTATCAACAGTGGAGAAGTAGGATCGTTTACACTAGTACATAGCTACTAACTCAGATTTTTATCTTCTTATTGCTCATAAAATTGAGTTACTCCAATAAAGTAATATGACTTTATCTAAAATTGACGATTTCCAACCCAACCATAGGAAAAATTAGTTATTTTAAGGATCACTCATAAACAATGTAAAATCTGGCATAGAATTACATCAACTGAGATCGCCATATTTCAAGATCGGTGTATTAAGACACGAGTTACAATATACAAAAGTGGAATATATACCATTCGAAAAAAAGAATGAAATTGACGATAAAAATAAATACACCTTCAGTGGAGTAATTTTAAATTGTTACTGAAGACCACCTCCCACCATACATGATGATCATATAACATTTGTATTTAACTGCTTCATGCAGTAAAAACCCATTACGTACAAAAAAATAAAAAAAACTTACTGGCTGCTTCTAATTGCCTAGCAGCAGCTGCACGAGTTCGTGTAGCACCTTGTGGATGAGATAATTTCGATAAATAATCTTTCTGATCCAAAATTGTACAAGAACAACATACATGTTCTAAAGTGTCATTTTTATTATTATTATGATTTAATGATCGATTATAACAGTGGGAATTACTATTACGATTATTGTTGCTATTGTTATGCGAAGAACACCTTAATCCATTCGATAATGCCTGAGAGTGTTGTGCACTTGATCGTGTCGTACCTCCCATATAAGATTGCTGGGAAAACATATTCGACTGAACACGAATACAACTAGGTGTTGTATGCAAATAATGCTCCGGTTTTGGATTTGTTTGTGTGTAATGAAGATTGCCACGTGAGCCGGAACTGTTATTCAAACAATGATGACCGTTTCCACAAGACGAACGTGTAGTAGGAGTATGGGTAGTGGTAGTAATCGAAGCAGATTTTAGAGATTTCTGCTCTTTACTTGCAGATGAAGCGATAGCAGCAGCCGCTTGTTGTTTGGCTTCCCGACGACGAGCTCGTTTAGTAATCTCTTTCATATGTTTCGGTCCAGGACCTTTCTTACTGTCAAGAACCTGAAAAAGTAATAAAATTACGTCATGGTACTTACTAATTACAACAGAAAGGACTGTTAAAGAACTTTTTATCTAATAAAAAGCAGTATAAGTATGAATAAATACTAACTAAAGCCTATCGATAAGCATCCATTATTGTTACTATCGAGTAAACAAAAAATAGTTCTCTTTCCGAATCTTTTATGACAACTATATTCGAACCGATATCCTAACGAGAACAAGAATACTGAAAAGTAAGTGGATTCAGGTGATAATGCATTAATAATAAGAAATTATAATCTAAACTACATTTTTACTTATTTAAAGTATCATAATTGTCAATACATGATATATTTTTATACAATGAATATGAGTTCTAGTCCTTCAAGACAAAATAAAATACAAAAGTGAATCAAATGATAATTTATTGTTTGTTCCAATGGTCTTACAAGTGATTAACATTGTGATTAGAATTAAACTAACCAGGGATTTCCAAAGAAAACTAGTAATGTAAATGTAAATAATTTTGTTACCTTTAATTCAAGATTTTTTTTAAAAGCAAGTAAAAACTTAACCATATTAGAAATATAAATTATCCATATAGAAATGTATAGAAAGAAGAGTAAAGCATTATATGCATACATAGATACATTTACATGAAATGTTTTAACTCATGAACACCTAGTACTCTATCACCAACAAAGAGACAGGTTTAAAAGATTTTTTTATTAATACACGACCAGATTTCTATGCTAATTTATTATTAAACCTATATCGACCTGAGTTTGTATGCTTTCTTTTTATTTATAAGCGTAAGCAATAACAATAGAAGTCACTCGGTTTTATATTAAGTCGGTGCTGAACTAATGTGAAACTATTCGTCTAAATATAGACAAAAATCCCCATAAATTTCAATAATAATAATAAAGTAATAATATAATAATAATAGTAATAATAACAATAACATAAATACCATACCCAATTCATATAGGAGTGTCTATCTGAACTCAAACAGTTTTGAAGGAAAGGTATTGTGTTCGAACCTCATTGTGAACATCAATACTTAGATGCCGGTACATTTAGTTGGCGTGTCTCAGTTAAGATAAAATGCTTGTCTTAATTTCCATTGCCAGCTACAATTTATCTATCCTTATCCTCATACAATAAGCTGAAAGAGTTGGTGATGTGATGTAACATTCTCAACCATAATACGATACTGCACAAACGGATATGCAGGAAACTGCACATTCGCGAGATTTATCTCAGGAAACTCTGAAAAATTTCTTGAAGTTTAAAGTCTGATTAAAAAATAAACTGTAAAAAACTATGGACAAAAGAATTATTACTAACAGAGAGTAATTACAAAAAAGATTGACTGAAATATCATATTAAAACAAAAAAAAAATCAAAAATATAATGCTACAGGAAGAATAGACTTAACAATTATAGGAGAAATCGTTATTACCAACATTATTATATATGATTTTATTGAAATAAGTAAAGGAGATGTGAACTAAACACAATTAAACCTAAAAATAGGTGACAATAAGTGAGTTAAATTTACATCAACAAATGAAGAACATACTACTTCTAAAATTGGAAGAAATAGATGACATATGCGAGTAACATTTTATAGAAAAATAAGCAATATACTAACCTGTACAAAGAAGTTCGGTTGTCTACCCCGTTGAAGCCAACGTTTAACACAAAGAACGCATGCATTGCATAAATCTCCTGAACGTGTAGTCCCCTGTGGACCAAAACATGCACCAAAATGCTCAGCATATCGTTGACTAGAGGTAAAACGAGAGGATGATGACTTTGTTCCACATATACAACAGCCTAACTGACTACGAAAGTGTGCACGACCAGAACCTCCACCACTACTGCCACCGCCCCCACCACCTCCAGTTCCACTACCGCTCATTTTATAAAAGTTAATAACAAAGCCTGAAATAAAGAAGCAATATTGGTAGTTGTGAATGATACAAACGATAAAGGTGAATTAATTAATAATACGTAGAAATACTCCTAGCTGTGTATGTGAGGATTTTCTTTGATAACACTGAGGATGGTATTGAGCAGAAAAGAATAAGACAACTACAATGATTAGGTGAATAGATTGGATATTTAACTACAATAATATCAGTTTAATCATGCATGGTTACATAAAGCTGGAATTTTCGCTTACGAAATAACATGATTTTCACATGCTCGGATGGTGTCAACACAATTATTTATTAACTAGTCATTCACATATACGTATAAACAATACGAAAAAAAATCAACCGCTAATAAGAAGACATACAAAAGGATGCTAACTAATGACTGTAAAGCAATGTGAATTAAAATTACATAAAACAATAACTATATCAATGATAGAAATTAGTGGTAGGTGGTACTCATCAACGAATTGAATACAATCGAAATACGACTGAAAACCAAAATGCATACTATTAAGTAATACGATGTTACGACCTACTAGAGTTCCTTAGATATCAATGAACGGAAATCCCCCAATTACCATAATACAGCCGAGAGTGGGGAGAGTCCGCTCCTCTTCTCGAAATGATCTCATATGGCCACGTATATATAGCCACCGACAGGGAAATGGCGGGGTGTTATTTACTAAATTAAGAGGATGAAACGCGAATTCCCAGAGCTTGAACCGGGCTGGTGGGTACGAAGGGAGTTGGAAAACATTGATTCCAAACCAATGGTCCACATGGACTCCAGGATTTTGAGGCAATAGATACCTATTCTTGGTCATCGGCTACCATGGGACCACACCTCCTAACGTTGCTCCACTGCCTTCTGGACTAGACCTCTAGATCAAAAGTTTGTGGAGTAGCCCTCTAAGAGAACAATCTGCTGGGCACCCATGCAGTATCCTAGCTCTCACACAAATCAAATGACAACTACAACCGGAATTTATTTTCACTTCATTCTCATTCCCACAAATTCCATATACAATTATTCGGTGACATTCGTCTTGATTTTACATTGCGTCACCTGTCTATTCTTTTCTATTTACATTTTGTATAAGTTATTGTTCTTCAACTCATACAGAGGCTTATCTATGGTGGAAATTCCATCCTACCTAAAAGATCTCAAGTCATTGAATGGTCAAAAATTGAATGACACCACCGAATACGAATCCTGAACCAGCCTTTCTGAAATCATGTGTGCCATTCAAACTGACCTGCCCCAACGTTTGCACAATACTGCAGAAATTGTGCAAAGCTTGAGTAAGGGTCGAGAAGCCTGGTGGTAGTGTAGTATTGTTTTCCTCACATAGGTTTCCGTTCATTACAGTAGGAGCGTGCTAACGAGTTGGAAGCAGCAGCCACATTTGGTAACTGGTGGCTTCTCTTTCAACCCATTCAGGTCACTGCCTAAAAGAAATCTGATTTGAGTGGAACAATCTGTGAAACTGATGAGACACCAATCAATAAAAAGCAACGACATCCTAGAAAATGGGCAGAGTTCCTCAACGAAGAACTCACCTGATCAAATGCCCTAACTAAATCAGTCGAACCGTCCTATCCTTTCTGGCCAGTGTTGACTGATACACCTGGCGAGGCCAAAGTCCATGAGGAACTGCAACTCCTGAGACGCCACAAGACATCAAACCAAATGAATCCCCTCCAACTCTTTCTAAGAAAGATGGAGACCTCCTGGTTATAGAACTGATCAAGTCATCCACAAATGTTTGGCAAATAGACTGTTCAAATATCGTGGAACGAGGCTAGAGTCGTTCATATCTTTAAAGAGGACAAACGTCACCTATACAACAACTGTCGGGAAACAATTCTAACTCCTATTCCATCCTATTTATTAGCTCCCCTTATAGTTCACAGATCGTCCAACACCCATAAAAGATTGACTTGCAAGGAGTAGTCTGGAGTTCATTCTGGTCGTGGATTCATTGGTTATACATACATCCCCTACCAAATGTTAAAGCACAGCTATGTTGATTACAGGCCAACAACCGTTGTTTTTTGGTACCAGTCTCTCCAATGATTTGTTAAACAGAACAGCACTCTGGAATTGTCTGTTAAAGGAGGCTGTACATGAGAAGCTGATTAACATGTTGAACGCTATACGAACAAACACCTCAGCCAGAGTGGGAGCATGCGAACAATTCTGCTGTTCAAGCAGTTACATTAAGGAGGGTTGCTCAATCTCTTTATTCATTCTCAACTTTATCATCAATGACGTTCTGGAAACGTCTCTAGTGAAGATAAGTAATGATGATGTGGAACTGTTTCCTAGAGAAAGAATTTAAGATCTTGAACCATGATGATATTGTCTTACTGTGCGAAGATATTTAACCCATCCAATCAACACTTAATCAGGTGGCAATCAGTGTCGTAGGTATGGCATGTGCTTTGCGCCTTCTAAGTGCAAGAACTTTTGCAAAATAGACAGTCTTATTGATAAACAATTAGAAGTAATCAGAAAGTTCGTGTATCTGGTTAGTTGTGCGAGTGTTAGTGGTGGTGTGACTGGTGAGATCATTCTACATCAGTTTGTATGAGCTCTTATCTTCCAGTAGTTCTTCGGCTTTTTTGACGTATTCTTCTTTGTTATGTTATGTTATTAATGCAGAGGTTTGGCAACGTATGTTCAGGCAAAATGACTTCAATTGGCTTCACCATCTTGGAGCACCGACCACGATGGTTTGGACATTTGATACGAGTATCCAAACTGTGCTCTATTTCTGGGACGTTTGAACCGATTGAAAAAAGTGGAGAAGCGGTTGGTTTATGTGGCATGGTCTCGAGGTATGAAAGAGATCTGTACAGGATTGGCATCTCTCAGTCCACCACAACCTCCTGGTTGGGGTCTGAGAGATGGTGCAACACAGTGGGTTAAGACGTTAGCAGATATGATTCACAATATGGGCCAGTAACGGTTCTAAGGTAATTCTCTTCTACTTTTTCACAAAAAAATGAAAGTTGCGTCACCTGAAAGGATTGTTATTTAAATCACGAACCTAAGTTAGACAACCACTGAAAACTTGGGAGCACCATATGAGCGTTTCTTCCTAGTATAGAACTCTCGAAGTGCGTATCCACAACCTCGAGACCGGAAACAGAACCCAGTTTTAGTAAGAAAATACTTAACCCTTAGACCCCTGAGTCAATGATGTGCAAGTCTAACTTCAAGCTATTAGCGATATTGCGCGACCATCTTGCACTACCTTTTGCGTATACATTACTCACACCCAACATGGTCGAACACTGGTCACAATTTCTCACTGCGGTGAAACGGCTGTTCAGTTTTCCCACGTTTTCAATAGTTGTAAAATTTAGATCGGTTAGTGATCTCAATAGGCATTCAACAATTGTCACTACACACTGAAAGGATTGACAGTATAAGCAAACAGAGAGAAGTGGATCAAATATTTATTACGCGTGGAATTCATCTATAATCCATGGTACACAGAACACTACAAATCTATTTGTTTTCAATTTCCTCAAAAACATGTCTTTGATATGTTGAGCCAATCAGAAGTAGACAGAGGAAATGGTCACTTGATGACGACCTGAAGGCCAAATGCATATCATTCGCCAAGAAATTGATTAATATTCTATGGGATAGTTGAGTACATACGTACATACCTTCTCGCTCCAGTAGCCACGAGGAGAGGTTATCGTGTATTACATCGTTGTTGTAGAAGAACTTGATGTTCTGTCTCACAAATTTGTGCTTCTTCTCTTTATACTACTACAATAAAAAACCTACAGACGTTTTTGCTACTTAAACTTCTTTATTTTAACTTGTGATATATTTGTCTTGAAATTGTTAAGCGACCTGAAGATGATTTTATTTCATACGGAACATTTGTTAATAAGCAATGAGAAATTTTTAAGTTGCATTCACTTTCTGATGAACAATTTAAGTGTCTCATGTTTATATGCGGATTGCAATCATCGTCAGATTCAGATTGTAATTTTAAGCAAAATAAAGTCAGACCCCACTCTAGTTGCTGAACTGTGAGGCATGGCATTACTCCCGTTTCTGCCTATTCTATAACCATAAATGAGCAAAATATAGAGTAATTGGTCATAAGGAGGGATTTTGCAAACGCAAAATATCGTCGTCGCAATATCGAATCAACTGTGTACATGTTTTGTCAAAATCTAACCCCATAAACTTACGCAAACATGTAACTATTAATGTTAATGAATCCTATAAAGTACCATAAGATGCTAAAAATGTGAATCCTTAACATATAGGTAAATTTCAAACACATGTATGGAATTCATGAAAGAAGAATGATGAATATTTTGTAAGTCGTTTTAACAGTATATCTGAAGTCGCTTCTAATCTTTACCTAGAATAAGTACATTTTAGGCCAGTTCATTTTTTCTCATATCTATATGTCGCTCAAATGACACAAATTGATTTTATGGAGTGTTCATCATCTTCAAAACCTTCTTTCAACCTAAAAATTTCCACTAATGTATCATAAACTGATAAGTGTTGGTATCAACATTCATTTCAAAATAATCATGTGCATCATATGGCTTGATAATCTACCACCCTAATATACACATGCTACTTACATCTTAATCAAGTGTAACAACTGATAAAAGATTGTGTAATAACGTTACTCAATAGTTGATAACACCAGATCAATTATTTGAGAACTTATTTTTAATTTAATATTAAGAACAGATGAAACTTAATACAAGATAAATATTTAGCTTTTTTTCAAATTTCGATAGGGATATCTATTTCTTCTTTCCTTATGATTTCATCATTCATAATGTGATGTAGCAACTTGAAATGATGCACTTTCGTTTTATATGACTAAAATTGATTCTAAATTTAAATTTAGAAAGTGTAAAAAACACTTACGCATGGACTTTCAATATATACACAATTACAGTAATAACAAGGAAATTTTTAAAATTATCGTATTTTCTTTTCTTTATTTT